GGTGTGGGTGTGGGTGTGGGTGTGGGTGTGGGTGTGGGTGTGGGTGTGTCTAGGGGGCAGGTCTGGGGAAGAGTTGGGGCCCTCAGGGCTTCTGTCCTCCCTCAGTTGGTCTCTCCAGTGTCGCACATCGGCCCCCACCCCAGCATGAAGAGAGGCGCCAAGCAGGGGGAGGAGGTTTAGATTTGTGCCTCTCTCTCTTTATTGTTAGCTTTATCGTTAGCACTTTCTTGAGTCGAGGGCACCGCTTCTGGGTCGTTATCTAGGACTTCGAGCTCTTGCTCTTTTCTCCATATCTCTCCTCCAGTGCCTTCTGCAAGTTCATGTTCATAGCATTTTTCTGGTGCCACCGGCCTGCAGAGAGCAGGGCAGGAGCAGGCACAGATCACCCAGAGGACCTCTGGAGCGCCCAGGCCCCATGGTGACCCATACCTCTTCCAGGGCGACCATTCACACCCAGGGCTCTCTCTGCTGCTCTGGGTTCTATCTGCACGTTGGGGCCACCATCCCCCACCCAGGGAGGGAAGTGCCCCACTCCCATCGTCCCAGCTCCCACATACCCAGATCATCCGTCTTCCTGCCATGCCAGTGTTCTATGTCCCTCACCGATTTCTCAATCACCTCTGGGGTGTAGGAGGCCTTCATGAGGCTCTTCATCTCCTCTGTGGCCCCTGTGGAACCCCATGAAGAAATCCCCAGAAGCCCCAAGTCAATGGAGGTCAGGTGCTCTAGGGTTCATACCTGGATGTTAGTGTCATCTATGAAGGGTGGACTGTGAAAGAGTCAAGGAGGGGAATGGGGAAGGTAAGACAGAGGATGCCAGGCTTGGGCCCAGATCCCAGCTCCATCGTTTATGGACAGTGTGGCCTCAGATAAGTTTTTAGCCTCTCAGAGCTTTGGGCTCTTCATCTATTCAAAGGAAGAGAATGATCTTGCACAGGGGAGGTCCATCACTTAGTAACTAATAGATCAAGCAAAGAATATCAACAAAGAATGAGAAGATTTGTAGAGAAATAATTAGCAAGACTGCTCTATTAGACAAACAGCATCCTGAACCCCAGAGATTATTTTCACATTGATCATCTACAAAATGGCCCGTCTCCTAGGCTATCGAACAGGTTCCAACAATTTCAAACAACTGAAATCATTGCAGGCCCTGCTTTCTAATGACGATGCCATCAGGCTAGACATCAACCTTTTGAAAGCAATGTTTATTGGTTTAGCAAGGATGGCTGTACATGCTTATGTCACAGAATGTTAAGTTAGAAATTTGGACTGAAGCCCTAAGCATGATAGATTTTAGATATCCAAGTGAGGTGTGATGCAGACGACAATGACTCCCAGTAAAAAGCCCAGGGCAAGCCAACGTCCTCCACACAGTCCCTCTGTCCAGCTGCTCTTCCCCCAGCAATCACAGCCTGACCTGCTCCCCTCCTGCTGGTCTTTACTCAGGCATCACCTGCTCTGAGAGGTCTACCCTAGCCAGTCTACTTAACATCCCTTAGGGGTTCATACAGAGGTGCTAACACTATAAAGCAAAGCAAAGGGTTTGTTGACAAAAGTCAGGTGATGCAGCTGGAAGAAGGAAGGAGAGGCTTCCCAGGAGCCTGTGAAGCCCTACCTTAGCCCGGGAGGTGGCACATGGCCTCTTACTATTATTCTTTACACTGCACACATAGGCTTTATACACTCTCTACGTGGGTGGTAGTTTTCACAATTAAAAAAGGATAATGCATCTATACTGGTTTAAATGCAGGAATACAAGTTTGTTTTGACGTTAGGAAATCAGCTAATGGAATTTACCACATCAACAGATCAAAAGGGAAAAAATCATATGGTCTAAATAACTTGTATAAATAATTCATACAACTTAACATCCATTCATAGTTTTTTTAAATTAACAAACCAAAGTCAAAGCATCCCTGGAGTGACACATTTGGCTGAATTATGTTCCGTGCTCATACTGACATTAACTCTGTTTCTCTAAAGATTCAGCCTTAGAACAAGATGTGATACTGGGTCCGTGCCCAGACCTAGAAACTGTGGGACATGGAGATGTTTGTTTTAAAAGTGGATTTGACTAAACTCTTACGTCTAAGTATAAAAGAGCACTGGGGAGCCAAGTGATCTTCCCATCCACAGGATTAGTAAACTTCTGTATTATAAAAAAAATAAAAATAAATTTAAAAAAAATTAACATGCAAACTAGAAATAAAGGGAACCCTCCTTAATCTGATAAAAATTTCAAAATATTATATTTAATGGTAAAATGTTAGAATCAAAAAAGAGATAAGGACCCGTTCCCCTGCTTATATGCAGCATTGTCCTGGGCAAGGCAGCCAGGACAGATGGGAGAAAGGCAGGAAGAGCCCAGGGGTTAATAATGTAAACTCTGGCCCCAGGCTGCCAGGGTTCAAATCCCATCTGTGACTGTTCCTATCTATGTGGCCTTAAGCAAGTTGTTTAATTTTTCCATGCCTCATCTTTTTCTATCTAAAAAAAAAGGGGGGGGCGTATAGCACTTACTACATAAGGCTCTTGTGAAACTTAAAATGTATTTATAGTAAAGCAGGGCCTGGCACATACTACATGCTATGCATAGGTGTAGCCATTGTTATTATTAAAAAGAAGTCCCCAAAGAATCTACAAACAAATTACTGGAATTAATAGGTGAGCTGAGTAAGGCTTCTGGATATAAGATTAATGTACAAAAATTAAAATTGCCTCTGTGTATATAAGCAGTAAAGTTAGAAAATGTAACTTTAAAAAATATACCATTTGCAACAAACAGCAAAAAAAAAGAGGTTCTTCTAAATAAATCTAACAAAAAAACTGCATAATCTTTCTAGAAAATAATTTGAAAATGTTGTTGACAGATATTGAAGGAAGATTTAAGTTAATGGATCTGAATACCATATTCATGGATTAGAAAATTCATTATCATAAAACTGACATCTGCCCCTACATTGAGCTGTAGATTCAATGTGCTTCCAATCAAAACCTCCACAGAGCTTTTCATGGAAACTGACAAGCTGATTCTGGAATGTGTGTGGAAGAGTAAAGGGCCTAGAATGGACAAGACATTTTTAGCTGCTGGTGGTGGTGGTGTAGGGTGGGGGCGGGGTTTACCCAGCCAGATATGAGACTGCTTATAATACCTTGGTCATAAAAAGTGTAACATTAGCCCAGTGAGCAGAATAGAGCCTGGAAACTGATCCGTGCTCTTAGGAAGCTTGGTGGATACCAGCTGCACCACCCCAGGTCACTGGGGGGATAGATGGGACTATTCGATTAAAGGGACTGAGACAATAGGTAACCCCCATAAAGGAGGAATCAAAAATGACTTCCTGCTTCACGCTAAAAACAGAGATCAACTCCAGGTGGATGAAAGGCTGACGTGTGAAAAGCAAAACTAAATATTTTTAGAAGACTACAGAAAAGACCACCTTTATAACTCAGCAGGGCTAGGATTTCTTCAACACGCGCCTCTGGAACTGTCTCGCCTCAGTAAATAGGACTCCATCCTTCCAGATCCCAGGTCAAAAGCCTGGCAGCGACCTTAACTCCTCCCTCGCTTAGGCCGAATCCTCCATTAGCCTCTTCTGTCTGCTCCGCTTCACACAAATGCCCAGAATCCTACCCTCCCTGGGCTGCCGAGTGGCACAGGGGTGCCCTCCAGGGCTGTGCAGCGCACCAGCCCGGCTCCCCGGGCCCAACCACCACCGTCTGCCCCCCGGACTTTTGCAGTCACCTCTTCACTGCTCCCCCTGCGTGTGTCCTAGCTCCCCACATCTATTCTCAACACAGCAACTGGAGCAATCCTTTAACCTAAGCCAGACAGTCAGGCCTCCCACTTACAGACCCTCCCGGGCTCCCCATCTAAGAGAAAAGCCCTTCCCCGCCTCCCCCCTGGCCCGTGTCCTCCGCTTCCTCCCCCCACTGCTGTCCAGCCACGGGAGCCTCGCCCACCTGGAACGGCAAGTGCAGGGGCCACCCCGGGTGGGTGGAGATGAAGAGGGGCCTGGGGAGCACGGGATGTCCTAATTCCTAATTTGCAGCGCTTGCCAATTTCTGGAGTATAAACCCTGCCACGCCCAGTGGTGAGATGGCTCTGTGACCCCAATCAGCCAGCCCAGGACAATTTAACAGTCGGCTCTCGGGGGCTGGTACAAGCTGGTGCGACACCCAATGGTGTTTCTCGGTCTGGATATTGGGTGCGCAGATTTTTTAATATTAGTCTCTTACATTTATGTGGGCGCTGCTATATGAGGTTGCATGTAAGAGGTGCTGGGTGATGATTGTTAGAGGGACGAGAGGAAGGCTGATCGCTGAGGCCTGGAACACAGGGCCATCTGAGCTGAATTCTCTCTTCCCTCCCCCAGCACCACCCCTTCTCTAAGCTCAAAGGAAAACCCAGAAATTTCCAGTGGCTGTCTGGTTCCTAGGTAACGGGGATCCGAGCCAGGTGAGGAGGTTTGCCAGGCCCCTGGGGACACTGGAGAGGACCTGGAGTGAGGCAAGAGGAAGGAAGAAGAGGCCCAGAATGACTTGACTGTTTGCAATGAGGCCGAACTGGACCGTGGGGCCAGAGAGAAGCCCCTGCGTGCCGGCCGTGGACCCCATCTGAGCAATTCATTAAACACTTGGGGACAGGGTCATAGCTAGGGAAGTGACCTGGTGCCAACGAAAACTTCAGATCCACCTCCTGCTANGCAATGAGGCCGAACTGGACCGTGGGGCCAGAGAGAAGCCCCTGCGTGCCAGCCGTGGACCCCATCTGAGCAATTCATTAAACGCTTGGGGACAGGGTCATAGCTAGGGAAGTGACCCGGTACCAGCGAAAACTTCAGATCCACCTCCTACTACTGAGAGGTCCTGGGTGAACTCTTTCCAACCTGTCTGTGAAAGGGAGCCCCCCCCCCC